CTCCCTGGGAGGAGCTGCTGGCCGGGGAGTGCAGCCCCAGTCCCCTGGGAAAAGCTGCCCCTGGAATAGTCATGATCAGCCCCAGTAAGCTCCCCCCCATCCCCAACCCCTTAGCCTCCTTCCCCGACTATTGTACCCCCATTCTCTGCCCTGTGTCCCCTATCCTCTGCTCTCACTCTAGCACCTTCCAACCTCCTGCCCTGAGCCCCAATCACACTCTCTGAGGTCCCCACCCCCTGCCCTGACTCCGGCATCTCCATTCAAAGCCCCCCACACCTCCCAGTCTCCTGCCCTGACTCCCATTTTGCATGTGTGCAATTGACTATTCCTTCCTAAGTGGAGTACTTTGCATTTGTTTGTATTGAATTTCATCCTAGTTATTTCAGACCATTTCTCCAATTTGTTCAGATCATTTTGGATGTTAATCCTATCCTCCAATTCTACCGAGTATCCAGTCTCATAAAAGTCAAGATATAACACATCTGCCACATCCACCCTATTCATAAGGCTTACTATTCTTACAACTATTAGGGTTTGTTTGACATGATTTGTTTTTGACAAATCCATGCTGACTTATCGCAATATTTTCTAGGAGTTTACACACTGATTGTTTTATTATTTGTTCCATTATCTTTCCAGATACTGAAGATAAATGGCCTGTAAATACTCCTTGGTTGTCCTTATTTTTCTTTTTTGTATGGATTGTCACTATATCTGCCCTCTTCCAGTCCTCTGGAATCTCCCATTTTCAAAGATAATCACTATCAGCTGAATAGTGATTATTCAGTCTCCTTAATCAGTGCCTTCAGTATTCCGGGATGTATTTCATCAGTCCAACTTGATGAAATTTAGCTTGTCTAAACTATTTAACATGCCAATCCTAAAATGATTTTATATTAAATAAATAATTTTAAAAATAGTACTTTTCATGTAACCAACTCAAAGCACTGAAGTACTCAAAGTGCCACAAAAAAGGATTGGTATTAATTTCTCCATTTTACAGATGGTTAAAGGTCAAGCTGGGAAGATACTTGTCCAAGTTCACAGAGCAAATCAGCGTAAACCTGGAACTAGAATACATGAACCTTGAGTCCAAGATTCCTGTTCTTCAGTCTATTCTGCCTGCTACGTTATGCTCTAATTCCATAGTCTCTGTTCAGCTCCTGGAAGTTTTGAAGCACAACATATATCCTAACTACCAAATGTTATTACCATATCAGACATGCTGTGAAACTCAGTATTCCATTATGTTCTTTTTAATCATCACTTCTTGTTAGTTAACCCACAGTCACAGAGATTCTCTTGGACTCCTAACTTGTTGCCCAGAGACACATATTCAGGTGAAAAATGCCCACTTTCTTCTGTAACTGGACTGTACCACATATATGTAATAAAACTCTAAATTTGCACCAGTGACTCTGGGACTCACGACCTACAAGTTTGATTATTGCTTTCTATAGTAAGGGATGAAATCACATGATCTGAAAAAGCTCTATTTGGTATGAAATGCAGCATCTTGTGTGCACAGCAACACAGGAGACCACAAAAACATTTCCATTCTCTGCACTGGCTCTCCACTGAATTCAGAATCTGAATCAAGGTCTGAGTTCTGATATTCAAAGCCTTCTGTAGGACTGGTCACAGCAACATGACAAACCAACCCTCCTTCCATGGCCATGCATTCCCAGAACAGAAACAATCACAACTCGAACAATTAAGCTGCCAACTGTTGGGGAAGGATTGTGAATGCAGAAGACAGAACTCTCAAAAAAGTTAAACTATAAATCTGCAACTCACTCTGGCAAGAGATAAGTATGACTACCGCTGACTTGGGCTTGCAGGGCAGTAACTCCCACTAGAGTTAGTGTCTAGTGGGAAAGTGGGCTCTGGATCGTCTCCACTCACATGGTCCCAGAACTTGGGCCCAAGCCCGAACCAGCTATACAACAATTTTGCAGCCCTGCAAGCTGATCTGGCCCAACCATGGGTTATTAATTGCTGTATAGACATACCCACTGTGTTCAGAACCTGTTTCTTCAACCTCAATTTAATTATGCAGACACAAACAATCATTTGCACACAAGCAAAGTCCTTATGAACGGAGCAAAACATCTCTTCAATATGCTGGGAAGGAACAGAGAGAATGTGTCAAACAGCTAGCAGTAGCTCAGTTACTATAGGCCATTTAAGTGTACAGATAGAAAGAAAAGTTGTCATGATATTATACCATACATTACATATAAATAAGGGGGAAAGGACTACATTAAAAGAAAGGTAACAGTGGACAGTCAAGCATTAAAAAATTAGGAAAAGCTAGCCTAGATTGCCTCTGTAACCTCAATCTTTACGCCACAGCCTTTAATTACATGATCACATATTATTTATTGCACAAGATGCTTGCCTCATTCAGTGCACAGGATGGACAGTGCTCAATGATGGGTAGTTATTCAATAATTATTTTCATCCTCATTTAATGTGTGGTCCCAGGCCTTATTTACTGCACATTAGTCAAACTATGTTCCAAATACAGAATTCTTAATTTCCATATGGGCTTTTCTATAGCTCTCATTACTATCTGAATGCTTCACAGTGTATCTTCACCACACTGCAATCAGGTAGGGAGTTATTATTACTGCCATTCAACAGATCAGGAACTGAGGTTCAGAAAGTACAAAAGGTATCTGCTCGTGCCGGGTGCTCAACTTAAGACACCCAAGGCCTGGTACATCAATCACAGTACTTAATATTTTTATAGAACTTCATATGTTCAAAACACAGCTCCCAATGACTTCAGCTGCGAGCGCTTACCACATGCGCAAATTCTCAAGTTGGGCACCTAGAAAATGAAGGACACATAATTAGTGACCACCTTTGAAAAGTCTTATTTTTATTACACAGGAACTCCATGGCAGAGAAAGGAACAAAATCCACTGACTAAACCGTAAGACCACCCTTTCTTCATTCTGCAATCCCCTACCTCATTCTCTACACACCAACTTCTGCAACAATTAAGGGATCATATAGACAACAATCTAATTCACTACACGATCATGGGTCCACTCCCAGAGCAGGCTCTGCCTGTGCTATGAATGATAAAGATACCCTATGGAAAAAATAGCATGATTCTGTAATTAAAGACTATATCATAATGCACACATACACAAAAGGTGGAATTAAGACTAAGACTGCATGAACAACCTTAGTTCTGACATTTGTTAGAGGGTGTGACTTTGCAACCTTTGTATTTGTTAATTAATATTAATAGAATTTTTTTAAACACTGAAAACTTCAAAAGTAAAATTTTCATAACGAGAAACTATGCTGATTCCTCAAGTGCATCTTCAGAAAGGTTGGTACCTTTAAAGCCACAATACAGACACTTTATCACTGGAGCTAAAGCAATGATTGGCGGCAGCAGTAAGAGTTTATGCCATGTGTGAACCAATGATTACAGAGTACTATACACCCTTTGCTAGTAGGTTTCACAGCTATTTGCTAAGTTGAGAATCAAAACTCCTGGATTCTACCCAAGGTCTAATGAGGGCCCTCAACACCTTTATTTCCCAGTGTTCCTGCCACATGCCCTCTTCTGTCCCCAATCTTAGCACATATCCCTTTGCAGAATGTCTCTTCCCCCAGCCACCTCTGGGCTTCAGCATGCTTGGCACAAACGGAACCTGCAGATCATTTAATTGTCAAACTCCAATAAACAAGCATCAAGGGAAAGTTAGTCACCCTGTGCGGAAACAATGGTTCAAGACGCCCCTCCCGGTGGGTATCTATCTGTAGGTATGCTTGTGTCCCTTCGCTACTAATCAGAGAACTTCGGCAGCACTTTCAGTTTGGCCTGCACATGTGCTGTCCCACCTCAAGGTTAACCAGTGCATGCAGGCAAACCACCTCAGTTACTTCGCTACCACAGTGTCCTTGAAAGAACTCCAAAGTAGAGAGGAGGAGGGTGGGTTGTGGAGAACCCACAAGAGGACACATCTCAAAAAAACATCATTACTACGTAAGGTGAGCAACTCTTCTTCTTCAAGTAGCCTCTCTATGGGGTGTTTCAGTGCAGGTGACGCTTGAGCTGTATCCTCAATGGTGGGCAGGGGCTTCTACTTGAGTCAGTTACGGGTGAAAATACTGTGGAACCAAAGATGGCATCAGAAGCCGATTCTCCAGTAATTGTATAATATTCTGCATATATATGGAAACACAACTATGTTGCCAGTTCAGCAGCAACTGAGAAGCAGACCAACCTCATGGAGTGAGTGTGAATATTGGATAGAGGTGTTATGTTGCAAACCTGACAGCATATTTTAATACCGTTTTAGAGCCATTTGGAGAGTCCCTAAGTTGATACTACTGAGACCTTGGATCTCTCTGCCATAGAAATAAAACGCTTGGGAGACTTTCTAAATGCCTCTGGTCTATCCAAGTAAAAGGGTTCAGGCTCTCATAACATCTAGTGTGTAGTAGTTCAGACTCCCTGTTATCACAGTGAGGCTAGAGTAGAAGGTAAGAAGGTTTGTGTGAAGGTTCAGTTGATTTCTGTGAAAACAACAGGTCACCTTGGGGGTGAACTGCAGATGTGATCCGAGTGTGACCGTGTCTGGAAAGAATATTGTATGAGGGAATGTGCCATCAGAGCTGCTATTTCCCCTATTCTCCTTCCAGGATGGCCACTCTCATTGACAGATTTGGGAGCAAACAAATAGTCACAGGCTCAAAGGGAAGTCTAGTGAGGCCTTTCAACACTAGACTTAGTTCCCATGTAGGAGTGGGATGGCAGGATTGGGAGAAAAGATTTACTATACTCCTATATAAAAAGATTTCCTATACTATACAACTGTTTTGTGGTTGGCATGAGAGCATTGAGAATCCCACAACTTGTTGATGAAAGTTGCTACTGCTGCTAGGTGAGCTCTGAGTGAACCCTGAATTTCTGAGAATTAGTACATAGTCTAGGTCCACTGGCAGAGCAGTGTATGTTGGGGAAATTTGTTGTGAAATACACCAAACCTGAGTATACAAGAATGACATGTAGTGGATCTTCTACTGTGTAGGAATACTTCTTGCGTCTCCCTTCAGAATAAAAGAGCTGGATGGAAAAGTATCCTCAGCTTGGGATGTAGAGTGCATCCTTTGTTCTGCAACAGATGGAGTGGGCTGAAGAGAGATTGAGCATGCTAGGTGAGGATATCAAATCTGTTTTATACAGGTGGAAGCAATCAGTATGATGTATAATTACTTTTAATAGGACTCCTGAGAGCAGGGGAAACTGGGGTAAGGCATAGAAAAGGTCCCTGTCTCATGGGGAAAAAAGAGCATTTCCCAAGCATTCCCCTATTTCTGCTCCGCAGCAGTAGTGTTGGCATTTCTTGTTCAGGTAAGTGGCAAACATTCCTGCACTTGGTGCCCCCCACTGCCTAAATAGGTCATGAAGCACTGCTGGGTTTAACTTCTATTCATGATCATGGGGGAATTTGCAATTGCAACTGTCCATTGAGTTTTGTACTCCCAGAAGGTAGATGTGGGAACTGCACCAGTTTTATAACTTTAGTACTTCTGAGTAGAGAGAGCACCTGGTTCCTCCCTGCCAATTTATGCATGCTATCATAGAATCATAGAATAATAGGACTGGAAGGGACCTCAAGAGGTCATCGAGTCCAGCCCCCCGCTCTCAAGGCAGGACCAAGCTCCATCTACACCATCCCTGACAGATGTCTATCTAACCTGTTCTTAAATATCTCCAGAGAGGGAGATTCCACCACCTCCCTTGGCAGTTTATTCCAATATTTGACCACCCTTACAGTTAGGAATTTTTTCCTAATGTCCAATCTAAACCTCCCCTGCTGCACTTTAAGCCCATTACTCCTTGTCCTGTCCTATGTTGTCTGTTAAGGTTATTGTGTGTGTTCCTTGGTCAGTGGGATGATGGATATAGGTATTTCTGACTGCCCTGAATTCAAGGAGGTCCATATGGAAGAACATTTTTGGGGCTAACCATTTGCTCAGTGTTTTTAGTTTGGATGGAGTGCACAGCCAAACTACGAGGCATGATTTTGGTGGTAACATCAGAGAAGTCTGAGGAAAGGGAATCATCTTGCAAATGTTCATTGGATTTTTCCACCAGTCTAGAGTTTATCATCTTAGGGTGTGTCTAGACTACATGCCTCCTTCGACGGAGGCATGTAGATTAGCCAGATCGGAAGGGGGAAATGAAGCCGCGATTAAAATAATCGCGGCTTCATTTAAATTTAAATGGCTGCCCCGATCTGCCGATCAGCTGTTTGTCGGCAGATCGGGGGAGTCTGGACGCGATGCCCCGACAAAGAAGCCTTTCTTCATCGACACAGGTAAGCCTCGTGAAACCAT